TGTGATGTCAGAAAGTCATCCCTTTCATTTAGGTTTTCAAGTTTGTTTCCATAGATGTGCATAGTAATCTTTGATAATTTTTTGTATTTCTTTAGGGTCTGTTGTGATTTGATCTTTTGCATTTCTGATTGTGTTTCTTTGGACTTTTTCTGTCTTTTTCCTGGTCAGTCTGACTAAGGGTTCATCAATCTTGTTAATCCTTTCAAAGAACCAGTTTTTTGGCTTTGTTGATTTTTTTTCTACGATATTTTTCTCTTCTGTGTCTTGTATTTGGGCTTTTAATTTGATGATCTGGATTCCTCTGCTGAAGTTAGAGTTTTGGAGGTCTTGTCTTTCCAGCTCCCTTAAGTGATTTGTTGAGCTGTTAACATGTGATCTTTCCATTTTCTTGATGTGTGTTCATAAGGAAATGAATTCCCTCCTCAGTACTGTTTTTATGGTATCCCAGAGGTTTTGGTAAGATGTGTCTTTATTTTCATTTGTTTCTAGAAATCTTTTAATTTCTGATTTGATTTCTTTTGTTGATCCAGGAGTTGTTCAGCATTATGCTGTTTAATGTCCATGTCTTTGTGGGTTTGGGGGTAGCTTTGTAGTTGTTAATATTTATTTTATTCCTCTGTGATCTGAGAAGGTACATGGCAGTATTTCTATCTTATGGAATTTGTTTATGCTTGATTTATGTCAGAGAATGTGGTCAATCTTGGAGTATGTTCCATGTGGTGATGAGTAGAATGTATATACTGTGGTTGTTGGGTAAAGTGTTCTATAGGTATTTATTAAGTCCATTTGGTCAAGTATCAAGTTGAGGTTCTGAATCTCTTTGCTGATTTTTTGTCTTGATAATCTATGTAGGGTTGTTAGTGGGGTATTTAAGTCCCCAGATATGATACTGTTGGAGTCAACTTTTTTCAGTTTACCTTAGAAGTTGCTTTATAAAGGTTGGTGCTCCTATGTTGGGTGCATATATGTTTAGGATGGATAATCCTTATTGATGGCTTGAAACTTTTATCATTATGAAGTGACCTTCCATATCTTTTTAAATTTTTGATAACTTAAAGGATATTTTGTCTGATGTAAAGATTGCAACTCCTGCTTTCTTTTGTTTTTTTGTTTGCCTGATAAATTGTTACTCATCCTCTTACTTGATTGTCTGTGATTGTCCATTCTGGTGAGATGAGTCTCCTGAAGATAGCATATTGTTGCATCATTTCTTTTTATCCAGTTTGCCATTCTATGTCTGTTCAGTTCATTCACACTTAGGCTAATTATTGAGTTGTGAGAGTTTATTCCAGTCATGAGGTTCTATTGTTGTTGTTTGTTTATTGGTTTTATTTTGATATATTTGTTGATATATGTGTGTGTTTTCAATCTTTTTCCTGTATTCTTGGGAATAGTGTGGCCATTCTTTTTTCTTTCTTTCTTCTGTGTTTAATACTTGCTTAAGCATTTCTTGTAGATCTGGTTTGGAGGCAGCATAGACTCTTAGGGATTGAATGTCTGGGAAAGATTTCAATTCTCTGTTGCTGATGTAGCTTAGCTTAGCTGGGTAGGAAGTTCTTGGTTAGAACTGTTTACCTTTGAGAACTTTGAAGATTGAACTCCAGTCTCTTCTAACCTATAGTGTTTCTGTAGATAAGTCTGTTACTATTCTAATTGGTCTTCTCCATAAATAGTCTGACTTTTCTCTCTTGCTGCCCTTAGGAATTGTCTTTTTATACTACTGTGTGTAAGTCAATTACTATATGTTTAGAAGTTGGTCTTCTCATTTGATGTCTTACAGGGGTTCTTTGAAACTCTTGTGTTTGAATGGTCATGTCTCTGATGAGAAGGGGAAAGTTTTCTTGGATAATTTCATGAAATATTTGTTTCAGGTGGTCTCTGTTTCTCTGTCTGTCTCAGGAATGCCAATTAATCTTAATCTGCCTCTTGATATAATTGCACATCTCTTGGAGGCTTTATTCCATCCTTTAAAGCTTCTTTTCTATGTTTATAACAGTTTGGGTTAGTTCCATATTTTGGTCCTTAAACTCTGAGATTCTTTCTTCTGCTTGGTTAATTCTGCTTTCCATGCTTGTCAGTTTGCTATTTATTTTATTTACTGTATTCTTTATTGCTCTCATCTCAGTTATCAACTCCTTCATTCTTTCTTCTTGTCTGTCCTCATTTTTATTAATTCTACCTATTAATATCTTGATCTCTGTGTTTGTGGTTTAGGACCAGTCATTCTGGGAACCTTCATTGTTTGAATTCTGAAGTCTGTATTCTCAGGTGCTGTCTTCCCTGGAGTCTGTATGGGATCTGTATTCTTTCTTTGATTATTTTTCATTTGTGAGGTTTTCCTCCCTCTTCCCCCCCTTCTTTAATTCCATTGCTCAGTGATAGGGGAGAGCTTTCACTTCTGTTTGCTCTATCCAATATTCTTCTTTATGTAGATTCTTTAGATTTGTTCAATGTTGAAGTCAGATCAGGAATTGGACATTGTGCTTTTTGTAGTTTTGAGATTTGATTAAAACTTGATGGGGGAGCTGTAGCTCAGAAGCTATCTTCAGATTACTGAGAGGTGTGTGGGCCCCCTTAAACCCACTTCCCACCACCTTATAATCTTTCCATGTGGTGGGGGCTATGTATCCCCCCTGAGAACAAAAAGAGATAAGTAAAAGAGGAAGAACAGAAAAGGGAGGAAGGAAGACTAAAGGAAGATGAAGACAGAGGAGACGCAAAACAGATAAGCACACCAACTAATGAATAAACAAACAAAAAATAAAAAATAAAAATATACAAACATGCAAACATACAAAAAAGACCCTGATGATGCACTTGCCCTCAAAAATACCCATATGCAAATAGAAAAACTAAAAAAAAACAACAACAAAAGAAAAGAACAGAAAAGAAACCAAATACTAAAACATAAACAAAAACAGAGGGAAAAAAAGAAGAAAAAAAAAAGAAAGAAAGAAAGAGAAAGTTCCCTCTGTGACTGTTTTTGGAACTTCAGGTTCCTTTCCCAGGCACCACCACACTCCTGGCTGCTGCTTTTGTAGGGAGCAGGGAGCAGCCTCTGGTCTCCAACCCCTTCCCTCTGCTCTCAGCCAGATGCACTGGGTAGCTCTTAGCCCTGGGGACTATTGTAGGAGGAGGGTGAATCAGTTCCCAACTCACTCAACTCCTCCATTGCTGCTGCTACTGACACAGCACTCAGATCTGATGTGCGTCTGTGCCTGGTCCAGCATGGGGGTGGAGCATCCACCTCTTTGTGTTGGCTCCTGAAGTTTCCTTTCTGGATCAAGGATGGTCAATCTCAGGAGAGTGCGATGTGATGATCCCCTCTGGGTCCCAGGTTAGAGGTTGAACAAAGCTGAGGGGGCCAATGCAGGTCTCTCTACCCATCCCCAGAGAGAGCAAGTGCCGGTGGTAGATATCTCCTTGCCTGTGGGGCTCAGCTCAAGATTTCAGCTCCAGATTTCCTCCCTGCACCCTCTCCACAGTACCTCTGCCAAGTACCTGGCCCACTGCTGTAGGTGGTGGTGTGGGCCAGGTGCCAGGTACTGAGAGAAATTGACCTCAGCTACCTCCTCTCGGGAGACCCCCAAGAATGGCTGATGATCTTGCACATTGGGGGCTCTGATCTCAGGGTAGTGGTGGGTTGCAGCTGCCTCCAGAGGGGAGCTCCAGATGGAGTCTCCCCTCAGATGGACTTTCACTCAACCAGTGTCACTCACCCACTCACGCAGACTGTCTTTATGGATACTCGTCCTTGCAGAGACTTTTATGCTCCCACTGGTTCTGTCACCATCTTCCCAAATCTTTTAGTAGATATAACTTACTTTCATTTGGTGATCCAATCAAAGAACAAGCAAACAAAAAAAGTAGTTAACATTTACATAACTTTTGATTTCTTTTAAGACATCGGCATATCTATCTTCCCTTCTCATTCTATTAGTGTGTATCTCTAAAGTGCCTAGTGTATGCCAGCAACTGTTTCTTTTGTGACACACATATATCCAACATGCCATTCATCTGATTTCTAACTGAAAGCCCTTTCTATTCTGCCTCCCAATTTCAGCTGTCATAGTCTGTCAAAATCACTGTTCTCTTTGGTATTTATGGTGAAAGGAGTCATTACTAGTTATCATGAGGCCATCTGTCCAGTGTCACTGGGTACTGACACACAGCCTCTGTTCAAACTCTAAGATGCTCCATCTTGCAGGATGGATATTAATGCCACTGAATCCATCTTCAACATTCCTGAACAAGCATTTATAATAGCTATTATATCTGCACAATGGCATGGAGACAGAACAGCATATTATTATCAAGGACTGCCCATTCCAGTAGAATTACAATATTACAAGCAGAAAATAAATGACTGTTTCTCTATTTTTAATGTGGTACTTTATATACTTGGACAGACAGACCCTAACTAGAGGTAGTTATGGTGGTCAGGCACGTAGTATGATTCCCCAGGGCTGTGAGGATGTCCTGTAGGCTTCTGGCTAGATGTTAACCCTTTAATTTAAGGAAATGATTTCCAGCCATGGTGATACACCAGAATCACATGTGGAGTGGCCTCAGGAGGAGTTGAACCATCTTTTTTAAGAACCATTCATTTATTTTTTGGTTTATGTGTATGCCCTAAAATGACCCATTGTTAACATTCTGTTGAATATTCAGAAGTTAAACACCGCTGATTTAACCTTTTGACCAGCTTATAAAAACCAACTCAGATTCTGCTGGCTTATAATGTATTTGAAGGAGTAGGCATTAGCCACATACAGTCATAGCATTTGTGACACAAATATATTTCATTGACATAGAACCTGAGTTCTATGAGAATGAGTTCTCCCATAAACCTAAGATGAAGGGTGTTAGATAACTGCAATTACAAAGATTACTTAGTTACGTGTATGAAAATGAGGGAGTTCAAATATGAAAAAGATGACACTGCAAGGTGTCACACCCAGGTTTGAGAGTATATAAATGCCCCAGTCTAGGAGTGGCATTCAAACTCAGAAGCTTCTCAGTTACACTCAGCTCAACTCACACATACCACCAACATGTCCTACAACTGCTGCTCTGGAAACTTCTCCTCCCGCTCTCTTGGTGGCTCCCTGCGCTACCCAGGCAACCTGATCTACAGCAGTAACCTCTGCTCTCCCAGCACCTACCGGCCGGGCTCCTCTCTCTACGGTGGCTGCCAGGAGACCTGCTGTGAGCCCACAAGCTGCCAGACGTCCTACATGGTGTCCAGCCCCTGTCAGACGTCCTGTTACCGCCCCAGGACCTCTGTGCTGTGCAGTCCCTGCCAGACGACTTACTCTGGGTCTCTGGGCTTTGGGTCCAGGAGCTGCAGTTCCCTGGGTTATGGATCTAGGAGCTGCTTCTCACTGGGCTGTGGACCCAGTGGCTTCAGACCCCTAGGCTATGGAGGCTGTGGCTTCTCTTCCCTGGGCTATGGATCCGGATTCTGTCGTCCAACCTACTTGACTTCTAGGACCTATCAGTCTTCTTGTTACAGACCAACCTGTGGATTTGGCTTCTATTAATTATCTCATTAAATTTCTAAGATTATTGACCAATGTGACTAATGTCTCTACTTGTAATCTTTTTGTCTTAATTTCATACAGAAAGAATTGCATCTTATTTTCTAAGTATCAAATTCTCAGCTTATCTTTAACTCCAAACACTGGCTGACAGACTTCATCTGAAAAACTCTGTAATTAAAGTACTAACTCACATTAAGCTTAAAGTCTGCATTGTATATAGAATTCATATTATCGGATTTTCTTCCACAGTTGTATGGAAAGTCAAATCATTTTATTCTAATAAATTTATTATTCTGAAATCCATCTATGCATGTTGTGGTTAGTTTTTTTTTTATTGCTAGAGTTTTGGTTGTGATGTATTAAAGGAATTATTATGGAACAATCAATAATTATATGGAAATACGTTTTAAAATCCTATGAAGTTGGGGATTTAAACAAATTTTAGGGGACTCAGGCAATTTTCTCACTCAAACTACAGGTGTTAGAAGTCTTTTGTTTTACTAAATAGACTCTTATTCATTAAAATCTGAGAATCAGAAATCAGTTTGATTCTGGTACACAATGTTGATTCTACTGCCTATGCCAACAGGTACTCATATACTGGAGCAGATTGTTTGATAGCTGATAATTATGTCAGAAATTCAGAGAGCAAAAATAATGTTTAAATGTATATGACTATGAATATACCTGCAAGAAAAATTTAATATAAATACAATAATGATGTATACATTTGAAGTAACTTTATTTTGAAATCACTCAACATTTGTTGGTAAAAGTGATTAATGCTTCCATCTTACTGATGAGCATTCAAAATGATCCACTTATCTACATATGTGTCATGAGGAATACTATGAAATGGGTGCAGGACTGATATCCCATCTTGGTTTTTGCTTACGTATCAAACTAAAGAAAGCTGAAGATAATAAGCATTTGATATCATCAGAAGTGATGATTTAATTTCCTTCTGAACATAAGATTGGGGAAATGTTACTTCTTTTCATGCTAATATTTTCTGTTTTCTCAGCAAAGAGGCTTCAGAAACAGTCAACTGTGATGATAGACATTGTTCGCTAAGAAACATAAAGCTGAAAAAAGAGTTCAAACAATGTTCAACATTTTACTAATTATTTCTATAGACTATAACACAGCTTTTGAGAAAGGTACCCATTATAAATTTACCCATTATAAATTTACCCATTATAAACTTATGTTAAAAGTAAGAATATGGACACACAAAGGTGATAAGGAACACATAGGGAAAACATTTTATAATATCTTAAAAATTTGCAAATCTTCAACTTGTAAAGACACAGAACAATCAGAGAGGAGAAAGAAGCATGGGAAGATTACATGTAAAAAGCAAAGCAGGAAGGGCTCAAAAGCCTTTGTGTATTACAAGAATGACTGGAAATTTAGCTAAGTTTCAATGCAAGGAGATTTTAGTTTTTCATTTATTTTAAATTAAGTGAACTTTATTATAGGAATGTGGGGAACAAGTGAAGATTAACTACATAAGTAGACTGCACAGAGGTGAAGTGTGGGCTTCTAACTGACCCTCACTCCCCCTGGGAATGAACCAAGTACCGATAGTGTTGTCATGTGCCCCAGCCTTCCTCCTCCCTCCCCCCACCCAGCAGTGCCCAGTGACTACTGATCTTTCTCTTGTGCTAATGGAATTCATGTTCAGGGCCCACTTATGAATGAGGACATGTAGTATCCAGTTCTTTGTTTCTGTGATGGTTGACTTAGTATGATGACCTCCCACTCCATCCAATTTGCTGTGAAGTTCATAATTTTGTTCTTCTTTATGACTGTGTAATACTCCATGGTGTATGTGTACATTTTCTTTATTCAGTCCACTTTCTACAGGCAGTAAGTTTGGTTCCATGCTTTTGCTATTGTGACTAGTGTGACAATAAACACATGTGTGTAGGTGTCTTTTTTGTAGAGCAATTTATGTTCCTTTGGGTATCTTCCCAGGAGAAGTATTATTGGATGCTATGGAAGGTCAATTTTTAGTTTTTTTAGAAATCACCACATTGCTTTCCATAGATTTTGAACTAACTTACTTCCCCACCAACAGTATAGAAGCTTTCTTTTTTCTCTACATCTAAGTCAGCATCTGTTGTTGTTTTTTGACTTATTAATAATAGTCTTCCTTACTGAAGTTAGGTTGTATCTCATTGTAGTTTTGATTTGCATTTCTCTGAAGATTAGTGAGGCACAGCATTTTTTCATATGTCTGTTGGCTGCTTGTATACTATCTTTTGAGAAGTGTCTATTCATGTCATTTGCTCACTTTTTAATAGGGTTGTTCATTTTTTTTTTCTTTTCTGCTCATTTGAGTTCCTAGAAGATCCCAGATATTAGGCCTTTGTCAGATACATAATTTGAAAATTTTTTTTTACCATTTTGTGGGTTGTCTCTTTACTATCTTGAGGATTTTGTTTGCTGTTTGATAAGGTTCCACTTTTCAGTTTGATAAGGTTCCACTTGTCTACCTCAGTTCTTATGGCATTTGCTTTTGGGGACTTGGTCAAGAATTTATCACCTACTCTTATGTGCATAAGCATATTTCCTATGTTTTTTTCCAATATTCTTATAGTTGAGGTTTTATATCTAAGTCTTTGATCCATTTAGAGTTGCTTTTGTGTATGTTGATAGGTAGGAATCCAGTTTCATTCTGCATGCTGTTAGCCAGTTTTCCCAGCACTGTTTGCTAAATATAGTCTCCTTTCCCCAGTGATTGTTATTGGTGACTTTGTTGAAGATGTGTTAGTTGAGAGATAATGTTTTTGCTTCTGGGATCTCTGTTCTGTTCCATTGGAACATGTGCCTATTCTTTTACCAATATCAGGCTGTTTGGGTACTGTAGCCTTATAATAAAGTTTAAAGTCTGGAAGTGTGATACCTCCTACTTTGCTCTTTTTGTTGGGGATTGTTTTGGCTACTTGTGCTCTTTTTTGTTTTTATATGAATTTCTGTATTGTCATTTCAAGGTCTGAAAAAAATAATGTTAAAAATTTGATGGGTATGTCATTAAATCTGTAGATTGCCTTGGGTAGGATGGACATCTTGACAATATTGATTCTTCTAATCCATAAGCATGGAATGCCTTCCCATTTGTTTGTGTCTCCCATGATTTCTTTGAGCAGTGTTTTGTAGTTCTCATTGCAAAGGTCTTCCACTTCTCTTCTTAGGTGGATACCAAGATCTTTCTTTTCATGTGTGGCTAATGTGAAAGTAATTGTGCTTTTTATTTGATTCTCTGCCTACTTGTTGCTGGTGTATAAAATGCAACTCTTTTTTTGCACATTGATTTTGTAACCTGAGACTTTACCAAAGTCTTTTATCAGTGTGAGGAGGCTTTTGACAGATTTTTTTTTTTTTAGGATTTTCAATATATATATACACACAAATCTAAATATACAGATTTATGAATAGGTATAGATATAATCATATATAAGTATACATGAAGATACAGATATAGTCTAGTAGTCTAGTGCACAGTGAAAATTTACCAAACTTTAAGAAGTTAAGAAATTACTAAATTATATATATATTACATTATATATAATATAACAAGTATTATAATAATTATATATATTACATATATTAGAAACAGACTCACAAGAGCTTTAGTCAAATAAATTATTAGACATAGATGTTAAAGTAACTACATTTGATATGCTTAGAAAATAAAAGGACAGGTGAAATTTTTGTCAGATCATTAAAACACATTAAAAAGCAGACATACTAAAATTGAAAAATGCAATGAATTAAATGTAGAATTGGTGAAAGGATGAAAAATAAATTAAATATGGCTGAAAGATAATTAGTGATTGTTCAAATAGAATATATTCAAACTAAAAAATAAGAAAAAAATTATTTTTAAAAACTTCAGATAACATGGAACATATAAAAAGGTCTAGCATAATTGTTCTTGGAGTTCTAAAATAAAATTATGTGTGTGTATGCGAACATGTGTTTGTATATGTATGTATGTATTTTTTTGATAGTCAATGAAAAACTAATAGTAAGCAACAAGTCAACATATTACTAAGTCTAAGAAAAGTTAAATGTAGTAGAAACAGATTCATAGGAATTTCAAAGAGAATTATCTTATTAGAGAAAAGACATCAAGTTTACAGATTCAAAAACTACTACAAATTCCATGCATGAGTAATATGAAGAAAAGTCCATAACCAGCATAATGGAATCAAATTAAGAAACAGGAAAGAAAAACTTAAAGTGGCCAAGGTGGGGAACAAAAGAAATTATATTTTAAAAAGCCACTAAGAATGAAAACTGAATTCTAAAAAAGGAAAAAAAGAATGTAGAAAAACAAATCAAATGTCCTCAAATTAAAAAAAAATTAAAAACAAGATGTCTGAACTTGTCCTTATGATGGTCTCTCTAAGCTATCAGAGACCTACACAGAGTCCCTAGGTCTCCCTAAGGATATCTTTCAGATAGATATCTCTCTTCAGAGCTCCATCCTCAGTTTTAGTAATTACATTGCCACAATAGCATTATGCTTGTTTCTTTTGCCTGGTATATCTTTTTATATTTCTCTTTTCCATTTCCTTATATTTAATACAATATCTCCCAAGTATAAAACTGTATTGATTTTTAACTTAGTCTGATATTTCAAGGTTTTTTTTAGATTTTTGTCATATTATGTTTCATCTGTTATTATATTCAGATTTTTATCTACAGTTTTACTATATTATTGCTATTTGATACATTTTCTAGTCTTCTCATTTTCATTCTTTGTTGGGAAAGAGGTCTTAATAACATGGTTTAATGTTACAAATTTACCCTTTATCTGATTATTTATCATTTTTAGCAGTTTCTTAAGAGATTTTAGTGAATGTTACCTATTTATTACTGTTTACTTCTACCTATATGTTAAGAACTGCAAACTGTTTTGTTAGTGTTATAACAAATGAAAATGTCCCAGTCCTGAAGGTGACATTACATCAGGCATCTTCTGTTGT